AATTCTCTTCTGCTACTGTAGCTTATTTTTTTGATTTATTCCCACATGTGCTCAGCAGCAATAACGGGAAAAGAGAAAGACACACAGAAAAGCTCCAGCACAAAGTTCATCCTCTCTCAACTTGACCCCATCTGGGGTTTTCCCCACAGCCTGACTAAGCCTGAGCTTGTTTGAGCAAGCAGGTCCTGCCTGAAATACCACAGCAGATGGGCTCAGGCTGACCTGAGCCAGGTGCTAAGAATATCTGGCATTTAAGTGATCAGGGCTTTATCACCCATTTCCATTAATTTCAGCTGAGTTTAAATAAACCTCAGTGAGCTCAGCCTGTCCCCATCCATCTCTGTGAGATCCTTCTCAGCTGTACTCCTTGCCCAGCCCTTCCATCTACTCTGTCATCCTACTGGAATGCTCATTCCCTCACCATTTTGGTTATTTGGAAGGAAAACGGTATTCAAGTAATTAGTCACTGGTTTGATCATCAACTAGTTCTTTCAAAGAACCCCCAGAATGAATGTATATTTTTATATAAATAAAGCAGAAAATGTCCCAGACTGGACATTAAGTAAATAAGTAAATATTGACTAAAATCCAGGCTATATTATAAACGAAGAGCATCTTACTACAATATTTCAATTCAAGTAATTGAAATGCTAACTTAGTCATAACAAAAATTCATGGAGCGAAAAGTAACAACATAAACCCAAAATTATACAGTCACAGGTAAATTATTTCTACATTTGTCTACCTATAAAACACTTACTGTGTTGTCTCCTTCCTTGGGCATGCAGTCTCAAGGCCTGATAACTTTATTAAAGCCCTTTAAAGCAATTTTGTATTGATTCTGAGACTAAGCTTGTGGCTTTATAATAAGCCATTTACAAGGCAGCATTATTTAAAAAAAAAAAATTTACTACTGTTCTTGCTGAACACCTCAAACAAATAGATTCCTTTTGTTGTGGGCTGAATGACAACTTGCGTGACAAACAGTACTTGTCTGTGCATCCCACAGAACAGAAGGTGGGACAAAGCCCTGCCGCTGCCCTTTGGCGACGCGGGACACCGGAGAATCAGCCTGAAATTTCCCTCCCTCGCTTCCCTGTGCCAGAAGGCGCCAGCAGCAACCTGAGCAGGGCAGACACACAGGCACTGCCTGAGCGCAGCACACAGGAGCACTTGAGGGAGAAGCTGCCAGAAACAGCCAGCTCTGCTCGAAGAAACTTGCCCCCTTTCTCTCACTTACACCGGCTGCAGCCTTGGTAATCTTCGTTATTTCGTGTTAAACTAGAATCATTGCTTATTCACTTCAGTTTTGTGCCCACAGACAGAAATTGAACACACCCTGTTGGTTCCCTCTCTCTAATTACAGACCAGAAGCCACTTTTAAAGCTGAAAAGAGGATTACAGAGCAGCTGTTAAGAGAGGAGCGTTTTGGGCATTAGCTGTGAAGGAAGCTCCCAGGAAAAGCTGTGCATACAGCCCTGCTGTCACAGGAGAGCCAGCTTTGACTTTGTTTCTTCTTTAAAGCACCAACAGACCTGAAGCCTCTGAACTGCAGGGCCTGTGCTGGAGAAATCAAACCAGCACCTTGGCTGCTACAGAGGAGGAGGTTTGTTTATTTTTTATAAAAGTGCTACTGATGAGAGACTACACAAAACAAAGCTGTTTGAAGGGCACATTTTGATACATGCCATAATTCCAAGGTACTGAGGTAAAGCAATGCTTTGGCTGGAAAAGGAACATCAGCCCCAGTTTCTACTTAAATTCTGCTGTTTGAGTAACCTAGACAGAATCATTCCAACTTTTACACCATCAATTTTATTAACTGAAGAGGTAACATTCAGGAGTAGCAACCTTCACATGGTGTGGAGGAAATACTATATCATTACAGCATATTGATGCTATCATATGTTATTATTAAGCAAAGAAAAACACTTCCAAAGGAAAGATCCAGTGTATGGCTTGTCCCCCTGCCTGCACATATGGACTACCCTGCTGCTCAGCACCACAGAACAGGGCCTGGGTCCTGTTTGAGGAGCCTCAGGAAGACAGGATGGTGTCAGAGGTGAAAGACAAAAAGCAACAATTATTTAAAGTGATTTCCAAGTCTCTGGAGATAACAATGGTTTTTATTATGAGATAAGAGTGTTGTAAAACTCCTAATTTTTTAAGGCAGCAATTTTTTCCAGATGAAAATGTTCTGGTTTGTAAGAGTAGGAGGGAATTCAAGATCTATGTCTTTACTGTTCTCAAAATGCAAACTGTAAAACGCATTTTTTTTTTTTTGCAAACAGAAGACAGACTCTTGGTGAAGTCTGCTGTAACAGCCTGAGGAAGAAGTTGCACTTCCTCATTGTAATACGAGATGATCTGAGTGCACAATGCTTACAAACTATTTCACACTGTAACATCCTGTCGGTTTAGCAAACAATCATCTTGAAACTCTGCAGATGCTAGTTTAACATATTCTCCCCCTCTTTATATAAAGTATTCAGCCTTTGAAAGAACCGGCTAACTCCTCAAATGGCATTTAGAGACTGCACTTCACAATTTGAATATCGGCGGGGCTTTACTAGGGAAGGAGAGAGATCTTTGGCTCAGGCAGGTCCCGGCTTTCACCTGGAGAGCCTCGCTGGTCTGGGGCAGGTCTGTAAGGCTTTGGGGGTGCCGGGGTGATGGAGCTGCCCTGAGCCCCGCTCTCGGTCACGGAGAGCAGCGGGGCAGCGGCCCGGAGCATCACTGCACACCCCGAGCTGCCCGCTGCTCCTGCACCGCCCAGCCCGACCTCCCGGGACACTAAAATTCTCCTCGGTTTACACAAAAAGAGTAGGTATTTCCGCACAGAAAAATCCCAAGTGACACTTGCAATACAGAAGCTTTGCGGATGCTGAGTGCATTGTATTAATCTGGAACAAATCCAAGTAGTCTGGATCCTTTTTTTCAGAAAGATAAAACGTAGCTTCAGCACAAACTATAAAGCTGAGGGAACAATAACTGGGTGAAGTATTTCACCCTATATTTTACAGATGTTGTAAAAAGTTAGAGCAAGTAATTTTGATAAATTCTGTCACATTATAACGTTAAACCCAAGTCAAAGGTGGAACACAAGAATAAATCCAAGATTTCAATTTAGAGATTTTATTGTTATTCCATGGGGAATACTGTCTTTTTCTAGTTTTTTTTAATCTAAGAGCACTGGCAATTAGACAAACACCCACCCTGACATGAAACAGTGATCATCAACCCTAGGCTTACACCTCAAACTAATTACCTCTGCACCAGCACCTGCTCTTTCACTTAGAGCAAGCCGTGAGGACACAAATACCCACATACATTAGGGAATGAAGTCTCTCCCTTGTTTACTCTTAATTGGCATTGGCATTAGCTTCATTAAGAAAAATTTAAGAAGTTTAATGGCTGCTTTACAAGAACCCCCAATGACCCTAATTGCTGTTCCTAATGGCTTCTGGAAGCAAAACCAACATGCCATAATGGCCATCAGAATTCCTTATTGGCTTACTGTTTTGGGAGCTGTGTTCACATGCCCCTCTGCTTCTGTTCCACACTTCTGGATAGGGCAAACTGTCAAGGTGTGGTGACTTTGGCAAACACACCTCAACACATTCTTTTTCCACCTACAGGGGATGATAAAAATCCTTCCAGATCAGGAATTAAGCATTTGAAAGATCAGGATACCTAAACAAACAAACAAAAAATTTATTGACTTTTGACCTAGACAAAAGCATTAAAGCCTTCTGGAGTTTTTCTCTTGCTCTCCTGGAATCCTGCATGCTTAAATAGTACTGGAAATTATTCTTATTAGTCCTCAAAATATATAATAACTACAGAATTTCTTTATAGTAATTTTCCTTTTTAGGCATAAAGACATCACATAAACAAGTTCACCTGGGGGTTTGTTTTGTTTTGTTTTGTGGGGTTTTTTTTTTGGTGACTTCCTTATAGAAATTCCCAGGTCACTCTTTACAGCCTATTTCCCACTATGAAGAAATTTTCATATTGCAGTGCCTAGATGCTTTATTTCTTATAAGAAATCTCAACCACTTCAGAATCAAATCCAAAGTTTTTAGGTACATTTGTGTAGATTTTCCCCACCTTGTATTTGCACAGCACTTATCACAGCATGGTCTTGGGCCACAGCCAAATGTGTCAGGCTGTCAGTAATATAAATAAAATATAAGACATATAACAGGAGAAAAACAGACTTCTGTGCTGAACCAAATTCAAACATTACCCTGCATATTTACTTTGCATGTCCAAAAAGGGTTTCAAAGTGTCTCTGCCCAGTTCTCAGCACTGGTGCTGACCACATCCTTACTGCTTATGACAGAGGCTTAAAGACTTGAGTATAGTCCTGTGTCACTGGTGACATGTTCCTGTCCAGGATATCCTTCACCTGCCACAGGCAAACATCAGATCCCAGCAACAGTGACCCAACGCTGTACTACATGTTTTAAAGTGCTTTAACCCCTTTATTAACACTTGTTATAAAAATGCCATAACGCATCCCATGGAGATTAGAAACAACTTACCTACTCAGCAGTAAAACAAGACACAAATCAAACTTCTGCAAAGACACAAACCAAACTTCTGCTGAAATTTCAAGTTCTCACTGGTATTTAAGTACCTCCTCCAGCAGTTTAAAGCCCTATTGTGTTAAAAAAGTGCAATCCAAAAAGGATCTGAAATGCCCTCTACTAAAACCAAGCAGCTTTTTGCTTTCGAGCGCCAAAGACCACCCCCAACTTCTCCATTCATGTGCCAATACTCAGGCCTCGCAGCTTCACCAAATCCGCCTTTTCTGAGCGAAATAAACTTGGAGAAAAGGTTTATGGGCCTCAGCATTTGTTCGCCGTACGCAAGTGCACGAGTGGTGTCACACGAGGTGGTAAATAACCATTACACGGGAAACCCACGGAGCCTTCCCCCGCTGCTGCCGCGGTCCGCGCAGCGCGACCCCGAGCCCTCCCTCCCGGGGAGCTCACCTGCGGCCGGCGGAACAGCGGCAGGCAGCGGGCCGGGGCTGGCTGGGACCGGGCTCTGCTCTTCCTCCTCCTCCTCCTCCTCCTCCTGCTGCTGCTGCTGCCGCCGCCTCCCGAGGTGTCTCCGGGGCCCGCGGAGCCTCCCCGGCGCGGCGAGGGCGGGACCGCGGCGGCATCGCCCCTCCTGCCTCGGCCTCCTCCCGCGCCGGGAGCGCCGCCGGGGGACGGCCCGAGGGCTCCCTGCCATCCTCAGGGGCTCCCTGCCACCCTCAGGGGTTCCCTACCACCCTCAGGGCTCCCCATCGTGACGGGCTCCCCCATCGTGAGGGGCTCCCCCCTCAGCTCTGCAGCACCCCGTCCCGCACGGCTCGGGAGATCCGTGTGTCTCCCCATCAGCGTTCACACTGTACAGCGGTGGAAACAAAATTCTGCCCTGGACTCTGAAAAATACAAAAGTTTACAGCCAGTTTTTTACATCTGGCCACTGCCGTGCTGGTTCTGGCGGGGCTCCCCACCTCGTCACAGGCAGGCTGCACAAGGGGAACCAGAGGCCTGACCAGGCTGCACATGAGGGACCGTCCGTGCCATCCCACAGCGCCTCTGCTCCATTGGGTCCCCGGGCTGCACATGAGGGACCTGTCCGTGCCATCCCACAGCACCTCTGCCCTGCTGGGTCCCCGGGCTGCACATGAGGGACCTGTCCGTGCCACCCACAGTGCCTCTGCTCCATTGGGCCCCCAGACTGCTCCCTGGGAGTCTCACTGGGCTGGAAGTTGTTCCTCAGAGCATCAAGCCTCCAACATATGGCCACTAATTCAGATGGAGCCTGGCTCTACCACACCTCAAGTCCAATGCAAAGCTCTCTGGAGGCAGCGGAAAGAAATGCTGATTTCCATGGATTTTCTGATTGAGCTTATCTGAGCTGTTAGTCACTGGCATCCGCACGCAGCCCATGGCAGGCAGGTGTGTGCCTGGCTACCTGCAGCTACAGCCGTGTGTTAGTCATGCATGGACGTACCACGACTGCAGCAATAGCTCAGTAACTAAACACAGTGTGTGTTTGTGCCCTGCCGGCCAGCTGGTGCTTTCCCCTCTCGGCAGGCCCGAGCGATGTGCTGCAGTTGACTCGCGGAGGGAGCGGCAGCTCAGCGTGCACATCACAGGCACAACAGCTTTCTGTGACTCTCTCAGATCCTGTTCCAATATTGCTGGGAAAATAAGAACGGCTGTGTTGTCTGAGACTGCCCAGCTATTAGGATGATTTCAGGCTGAATTTTGGGAAGGAATTTAAATCCAGTTTTGGCAATGTGAGACAACAGATAAGGAATACAGCTGGAGAAGTGGTTACGTACCTGAGGCACAGGACAGAGCAGCAAGAGAGCTGGACTCTGCTCCTCTGAACCCTGCCCTGCAACGCTTCCATGTGCAGTCTTGGGCAGGGTACCTAATCATACCTTGGTCTTCCCGTTCCTGTTTTGGACCTAGTGTCCAAAAGCACTTGGAAATTAGAGGAGCATTCAGATGGAAGCAGTGCACAGGCTGTTCAGGCCATTTCTTAGGGGAAAAGAGAAGGATCTTCCAGTAAAATTATTGTATAAAAAAAATTGTATTCACTGGAAGTTGGATTAGATAATAAGATTTTAAAAACTGCAGGAAATGGAAAATACATTGTTCTGCTGAGATCATAAATGGAGTAGTTTCAGAACAGATGGACTCAATTTATCACTTCATCAGAATTTTGTGGACCTTCCGAGTACACAGATTGCTTAACGTCATTTCTGTATACCCACAGAAAGTATTTGCTATCCCAGACTAAGATCTAAAATTCCTGCATGATTCAACACGACTGACGTTGTAGGGTTTTTAAATGGCAGCAGCTTCAAAGCACCCCAAGTGCTTTATGTACACTGTTGTGCAGATTACTTTTAAACTATCAGCAATTACTGTAACATTTTTATGGGGGAAAAAAAAAAAAAAGATGCAAAAGGAAAAAAAACACCCCCAAAATATGGAAATTAATATGCAGTTCACTGTGTTACATACAGACTTCCCCCGTTCTTTTTCGCGCTGCTGAGGTTTCTGTCAGCGCCGGCAGCCCAGGCACAGCCAGGGCTGGCTCTCACAGCAGATGCTACCACCCCTTGCTGGAGAGCAGCTGGCACTGCTGGGAGCCTGCGAACGCCACCGCCCAGCACAAGGTTCTGTCCCTGGTGAGCAAGGCGACAGCATCTCTCCTGTCCTTTTAGTGCCTTGTCTTTTTGCCCTTGTAAATTAACCCAAAATAAATTTCCTATGCAAATGTGGTAGCTGTAAATGTCGGATACTGTGGAAATTTAGCCCTTCATTGGAGGTCCTTCTGAAATGTCCAAATTTGAGTACAGCAATCCTTAGGGTTGTATTTGCTTCTGTTAAAGTTTTCTTCACAGGCAAGCAACCATTATCATTTTCAGGTTCCTGCTTAGAAAAATATCCAACAGCTCTACAATGACGTGTACATATTGAGTGTATAAAGTCAGAGTATTAAACACACAAATCTAATCTTCCTCAAGATTGAATTGGATAACAATATCACAAATAGTTTTAGAGATTTTGTTAAAATGCAAAACATTTGCTGATAAAAATCTAATAAAACAAAATTTTTAGTTTTCTGTGTAAGTTATTTGTAGATAGGATGCTTAAAACAAATGTAGCTGCAAAGTGAGTTATGGAGCATCACAGGAGCCTGTTTTGTACAATTCAGATGTGCACTTCAATGTACACTGCTATAGTACCCAGGGCCATGAATCACTATGAGACAGAGAAAGATCACTATTTGAAAAAGAAGCAGAGATAGAAAATAGTCAACTTCAAGTCTAATTCTCATGTGAGGGGTTTACATTTCTCTTAGTAAATTACCATGGGTTGAACCTACCTTCAGTCTGTGTGCATAATTCATAGTAGTAAAGAGCATGACAGCTTTTGGTTCTAAATAATTTTACTTGAAAAATGTTCCAACACTCAGATTTTCAGTGGTTCCCAAAAGTGAGTCAGTTAGGACTGACCAGATAAATATGTGACAAAAGCAAATCAGAAAGTATTATTTTAAACCTTTAGGAAAAAATTTGAAAATTAATATAGAGCAAACTATTTCGTCGGTTAGACATTATATAAAGTATCACAATATGTGGAATTGTACTTGTAAAATTAGCAGGTAGACTTTTAATATATTCACTCCTTTTAAATACTCCTTTGAGGTCCTGCAACACTACAGCATGGGTAGGGTAGCATGCTTTACCATGCTGCCATTAGTAGTTCCTCAAATACCCAGAAAGTGACCAAGACAACTGTAATTTCTGCTTTTTGTCACTAGTTTCATGATTCTGATTCAGAAAGACAGAAATGTAATGCTTTTAATGAGCTCTACAGGAGGAAGTATTTATTAGAATATTGTTTGTTTGTTTGTTTGTTTTGGATGAGATTTAGCATCTATTTACCAATGTGCATCCGGACACACTCCACTCTTCAGCCACTGATCAATTTAGAGAATGAGACAAACAACTGGAGTAAATTATTTGCTATTTCCTGTAAAGATATCTAATAATAGAACAATCCCAACCTGCTAGACATGACATGCTTAGGAAGGATGTAGTAAGACACTGTTTAGAGCTGCTACTTTGCTGTCACCCTTATTTTCAGGGCAATATTAGAATTAATTGCTGAAGACCCTTTAGGCTGCTAAAGGCATGAGCACTTCACTGCACAGCCTGGCCAGAGAGAAGGCAGAGTTTCACTGCTGTTACATGGTTTGCACTTTTGGCTTTTGGATCAATTAACCAAACTTTGGGGAATAATTTGCTGCTTTCTCTAAACAGAGCAATAGATGTCATACATGTTTCTTTGGGGACATGAAAAGCTATTCAGGTCTCTTGTTATTTGTTTTAAAGTTGACAAAGACTCTTGGCTGACTTGGAAGGAGGATCATGTTTTCTAGCACTCCAGTCTTCATTAAAGTTAGTGGGACGACAAAGAAAGAAAGACTAAAGCAAACACTTTAGCTCAAGCTCACAGCACTGGGAAATGATAATTAGGGAAGGTACCAAGAGTGCAAGTGTGTGACTGAGGAACTGAAGGACTTAGGAATACAAATCCCACCACTTGCAGCTCCAGAACCTGGGCTAGGAAGTTTTGTTTGAATACTTGGATTAACAACCAAAAAACCACCTGCATCTCCTCTTCTGTTCATGCTTAAGATTCTATCTCCAGAACAACAAAACACAATATTTCTTGAAAAATCTGTGGCTGGTTAATTGCTTAAACCTTTCTACCTGACTTGCAGGTGTGATTTGTACTGAAACAAGGGCTATAGATCAGCCTGGACTTTAAATCTTTCTGTATACTCAAGCTGACTTGTAAAAAATGGAATATTTTCTTCTAGAAGTGTAATTACTCTCAACAATGACAGAGGACCCAATCTGTGCCTTCCTAGAAAACTGTTAGATGGTCTTTATTGAGGAGTCACTGTTTTTATTAATTGGTAAGTTACACAAGTTAGGAAAATAAATGAAAAGAAGGCTATTTCCCTGTTAGGAGCCCTAACGCTGCAGGTGGATCTTGTCGCAAAACGGAAGATGTTATTGATTGAAAGAACACAGAAAAGAACAGATCGTTTTATGTTCACAGTAAATGATAAAACAATTTAGCTAACTGTTTTCAATTTGCACTTTCAGTATCTCTGCATTAGTATTACTTCTATACTGGAAAGAAAAGAAGAATACTTTGGAAAAATCAGTAAGGAACAAATGGACCATCCATGTGATTAGGAGAAAATGCTCTTACGTAAATTGGAATACAATTGTAGAACACAAAGGTCTAAAAGAATCCACTAGGAAACATGGATTTACAAAAAAAAAAAAAAAACAAAACAAAACAAAAAAAACCAAAAACCCAACAAACCCAAACCCACTCAACCCTGTTACAAATCAATTTTAAAAGTGTGTGGACAAACTTCATCTGATTAAATCAATGTAGCCCTATTATAGTGAAACCAATGAAGTAAAAATTTTTTCTATTACTTGAGGATGTAGCCTTTTATATTATCTCACTGAGCTTACAGAAGTAGCTTACTTCTTGAAGATTAGT